ACAGCAAAAAAAAAAAAAAAAAAAAAAAAAAAAAAAAAAAAAAAAAAAAAAAAAAAAAAAAAAAAAAAAAAAAAAAAGGTAACAAAATTATCTCAAACTTAATTTTGATACTTATTCTGAAATTTTCAGAGAACATGGATGAAAGACATACAGACACTACTCATCTTGTCACTAAAAGGGATCATTCATCCATTCTTTACTTGCTATAACATCTCCTTTGTGTTTTGGACATACTGGCATTATCTTATCCTTATTCCATTTCAATTCATTCCTTCATAAAATGTTCACATTAGGAACTTGGATATATGATCACACTGTCTGATTTATACTTAGCATGATATCACACCTACGAAGGCAATCAGATATTTGCAAAACAACCCCTGGGCTCAGTGTGGTTTGATGTGGAACTTCAATAAATAATGAGAAAGTTTGCAGATTTACCCACGGAGGCATAATTTAATTATTCTCCATGTCCATTTGGAAAATTTGGTTCCTTCTCTGAATATGGGAAGAAAGTTGTCAATTAGACAGATATATGGATTTGGATCCATTTTAGGAACCCTCCTCTGTTGGAAAAAAAATGAAATGGACATCAGAATTCTTCTAGTCTGGTCACTACTCAACTACATAATTCAAATTCCTGACCAAGCAAGGAATTACATTTTTCATTTACACTGAAAAGCAATCTCCAACATATTTTAATCCTTTTCCAGTCATTGCTACACTTTTTAGAAGTCTCAAGAAACAACAAAAACATGTTGTTTTGGAAAATACAGGAAGAAAGCAAAAAGAAAGCATAATCTTGTTTGCATTTTTTTTTTTATGGGAGTTGATAAGGTTGTGAAATTTCAGACCACTGCTTTAAAGTTTGCTGCATGTTACAATAGATACAAACCTTCTTATGCTTCCAAACATCTGTGCATGACCCAAAAATCTTCCAAAATCTATGTGGAACATGTGTCCAGCTTTTGTCAGCATTATGTTGTCACTGTGTCGATCACAGACTCCCAGGATGAAGGTAACAACACACCAACCAGCACAGGAATAAAAGAAATTCCTTATGGCCTAGAGAGTAAAACAAAAGCTCTTATTTTATATGAAATAGCCAGATATATTTGTGATAAAGAATGAAAATGGTTTTTAAAAACAATAAAATAATTGATTAATATAAAAAATAAAATATTTTTAATGTTATTTTACAAATGCTATGCTTGCTGGTAACCTGGTAAACCTGTTTAACCTATTAAAGTTTTACCAGGCAAGTTTGAAAAGAGATTCATGAGACAGGTCTGACTAGGAATAGTATAGGGATGGCACACAAACATCTCAAAGTTACAGCACAAGAACAATTGTACTAATGAGGTTTTCACCTTGTGTTCCAAAGACACCTGGAAGTCTACAGAAAACTTTAAGGCAAAAGGTGCTTAGATAAAAAAAAACTTCTTGGCAGGAAGTTGATATTTTCTGTTAAGTGTTCTGCAGGCATATTGCAAAAACAACTCTTGGGAAATTATTTGCAAATGCACAAATTTAACCATTTGCTTTGCAAAGGGTGCAGGTTGTTCTATACCCACTGCACTATTTTGTACCCACATGGACTTTTTTTTTTCCTCCAGAACTCAGTTCATGTCACATGAATGTAAATCACAATGTATACAATGTAATATAGAAACCCAAACCCGGTTATTTTAATTACCTGGATCTTAATGTTTTTTGGACAAAACCTACATTAGCCAAGGCTAATTTAGGCTTTCAGGAATTCCCTGTAGATGCAAGATGCCATCTGCAATAGCAAAACTTAGGCCACAGCTCAAGAGTTGGCTGAATTTTATGTCTAACTGTGCTACTTACTCACTTTGATGACCTTGGATAAAACACTTTTGCTTTCTGTGATTTTGTTCACCCAACTGTAAAATGAGGATATTAAAGCTTGTTCTGCACCAGTTTTCTGAGCACCTTGGATCCAGTACTGTATGAGTAAAAAATTATGAAGGACTAAAGAAGAGAAAAATTCATTCACTAGCAAGCACAAAGGGAATGCATAGAAGTAACTTCATGCATTTCCTATGTAATCAGATCTGACTGCATTTTATATACTTAAAAAATTGGAAGAAATTGGGTAGGAATTTGTTTTAGAATATTCCACATGAATGGTATTGTTTACAAACAGCAGCAGCAGCAGCAAGAAATCAAATGTTCACTCAATAACTAGCAGTGCCTCACTTTTGAATTGAAATGTCTACACTTCGACCATAAAACTGTAAACACACAAACTTGTAAAAAAAACCCCATTCTACACAGATTGCTCTTGTTTAATAGAATAAAATTATATATGAGGAATTCAAGTGCTTGTAGCCAAAATGTGGATGAGAAAATGCCTATGGAATAATTACAAAATTACTAAACTTTACCAAACATATTTATAATACACATCTACTAACAAACTCTATAAAAGCACTTCATTCTCAGAGTGCTAAATACTCAAAGCACTCCTTTAAACTTAAAATTATGGCCCCTAATTTATCATTTGCATGGAAAAAGGATTATAAAAATTGTCCTAGAAACACAAAAATTGAAATTTTTTTCAGGGGCCTCTAAACATGCTCACCCAACAAGGAAATGATAAAAAGGAACTGATAGAAAATTTTCCTTGGAAAACCTTTGCTTCTATAAATAAAATTTACAATTTTTTTGGCTCATGCAGAACATCTAGTTTCATAAAACCAGATGCCTACCATGAGATCCCATGAGAAAAAGTGATATGAAAAGCATGAGCTTCTGTATTTCAACTGTGACTGGGTGGTTTTGATCAAACAGCTTTCTGCAACGCTAGGTATTGGCCTGGTCATTCCCAAATACAGGAAATGTGCCAGGACTTTATATGGTTTATATAAAATAGAGAATTTAAAGAGTTGACCTAAAAAATAAAATTTTTTCCTGTGTTCAAGACAATTTCTATTTCAATTTCTCTTCACTTTGCAACTAAATTTCAAAATATCTTTGTGACACACGTTTATAGAAAATGTAATAGCATGCACCTGATAAAAAGCAATAATTCCTTAGCTAGAGAGTGGCATTTAAGTGGATTCCCTGGTTTCTCTGCATGAGACTTGTCTCATGTCTGAGACACTCATTTTTTGCTGCCTGCTGCAATTTGGTTCATTTTTTTCTTCCCCCATGGCATAGCATGAAATGTGTAATAAGCTTCATTATGATGTTACCTCTTGGTAACTTGATTCCAGAGGATGGTGATGGTGAAACCATTTTTTAATTGTGTTTTCTTTCAGTGGTCCTATCAGCCCAGACTCCCTGTGGATCTTCGCTAGTGTGGTAGCATCTGGCACCATCTGTACCAGACCTAATCAGATGGAAAAGAGTTTGCATGAAAAATCCTCAACTTTAAAAACACAGAGAGACAATGCATAGTGCCTGTAGTTTGATCATTCCATGCAGAAAAAAAAAACCCTAAGGTTTTTTTTGAAGTTAAAAGATAAGAATAAACAAATAAAATAAATAAATAAGTTAACAATAAACAATAAATAAGCTTTATAAATTAAAATAAATAAAAAAAGTTAAAATAAATAAATGAAAATAAGTTAAAAACTAAAAATAAATAAATAAATAAAATCATAAGTTAAAAGCTTAAAAATAATGAATGCAGCACAAAATATAGAACAATATTATTTTACTCTTGCTCTTTGGAAATTAGAAATAAAGGGCACTGAGTGGAAAGGGGCAGTTCTGTGAAGGAGAAATAAAATCATCAATAACAATATTATGGATATAGCTGCCTCAAAGTACCAACAGGGTGAGCAGTTTAGCAAGATTCAAAGTGGGTAGAATATGCACAAAACTAAAAAAAATTAATAAGTAGGATCTCATATTTATGAATTTATATAAATGTTATATTCATTGTATAATATTTATAACATACCTAGTATATGTATTCTTATAGTATAGATAAGATTATATATTTTATATTATATAATATTATGTATTTTAAATATGTAATATATAATATATTATATTATATACTTTATATAATATATATTATATAAAATATAAACTATATATTATATATCAAAATATACATAAAACATATATAATACATATAAATATATATATACACACACATATATATATATATATATATTTATATATTTATATACACTGTTTAATGTGTATTTATTGTCCAGAAAGGTGCAGAAATTATTCTGGACTATGTGATAGTGATCACAGCATGGAGAAATGGTACTGGGTAGTTCAGAAATTCAGTGGTACTGATCCAGTATGTCACAAACTGGGACTCTGAGGTGCAGAGAGAAGCCAAGCATTTTGCCATGCTGCACTTGAATCCTCTGTCTCTACTGTGTGCACTTAATTCCTTTTTTTGTTCCTGAGACCTGCCTTTTTATCCTTCTGTTCCTGTCCCCACGTGTGGTGCTCTGGCTTGTCATGCTGCTATTCTGCAGTACAGGAGGGCTTTCTCTAAGAATTTGACTTGCTGACAAGCTCCTGTGCTTCACCATGCCTGGGAAGTGGAATTCTATCAATTGTTTATTCAGTTTTCACTGAGTTTCAGTGAAAAAGGATTTCTGTGTTTGCACGACCATGAAATTACCATTTCCCTTGCCCCTCGTGTGGGAAAGGCGGCCATGGAGGAAATCATTAGCCTAGAACTTGGAAAAACTGTGTAAAACCTCCCTAAGCACGTGTCCTGTGTGACCACAGGCATGTCACTTGTCCTTTATCCTTAATTATTAACTGTAAATCCATTATCTTAACCCTGATGTAAACTGGTAAGGAAAGACATCTGGAAAAACTGTGAGACACTGTGGGGTTTTTGCTGCCATGATGCCGGAAGGAAGAGACTGTCAGGGAGTGAATATTATTTGCAGATGATCCCTGTATCTCTCTTGGCAAACATCAAATTAAGCACTAGTATACAGAAGAGTCTGTATATAATGTCATGTCCAGAAATAGTATTCTTGTATTATCTGCCTTTGAAGCAGAAGCTTTCAAGTTTTGATTCCCATCCCACAAAGAAGGGAGGAGATTTTTCCAGGTCACCACCACCACCACATGCCTTGTGCCTGAACTCATCTATACTTTTATTTCCTTTAAATCATTCCTCCTCTCTCATGTTCACTTCGTGGCTCAGAAAGCAATGATTTTCTTTTAATTTTTCTATTTTAATAGCTTTTGTGCAGCAGGTAATCTGGATGCATCAGCCTTCTATTTGAGCTAGGATTATTTCCAGTAGAAGATTTGGTCAGGGAAATATAGGCAGCTTACTGCTGTCAGCAGATTTCTACAGCAAGCAATTCGTATCCCTGCTACAGCTCTGCTACAACAACCATAAAAGAGAGAAATTGAGCTTTCAGATGAGTCAGGCCTGCCCTAAGCAACATAAATCACAAGAATAATATTTCAAAATCAACAGCACAAAGCTGTAATCACTTGTCTGCAGGTATTTTGTGTAGCCACATGCATCTAGGCTCATTTAAGCATCTATGTAGGACTACACTGGATTAAAACTTCAGTAGCTATGGCAAATTTTCTCCAAAGCCCTCTTTTTGATATGTGAATTTAAGAATGTTTTGCTGGCTGACAATGTTGAGGCTTTTGGAAAATTCTAGCCTAAGTTGTTACAAAATCTAATGAGTTCTGGAGAGGCAGAATAAATGAATTTTATATACCACTGTTTACATGAAATATGAATAATGTAATATAGGTTCCTTTTGTGATTTAAGACTGACCTTGTCCTTTCCCTGTAGATAAACACCTGTAAATGATCATTTGCATATCTAGTCCCTCTTGGAGCCAAATCCTGTCCATCAGGCGAATAATTTGCAGAACCAACATATCTTGACGTAGATCATCACCTATCTGTGAAAAATGGACATGAAATTCAGTTTTCTTCCTCAATACCATACAGAAATAATGCTCTATTTAACTGAGACATTTTTGCCCACCAAAGAAGCTACATTCATTTCAGTAACTCTTGTCTTGTTTTCCTTCAAAGTTCCCACTCACCTCTCTGTGTCAGGAGAAGACAGAGTAGATGGCACACAGAGACAGTTCTGGCAGCCACTGAGATGCTAACAAATGATCCCTGCTTAACTCTGGCCTTTCTACTTATTATTCCTAGGTAATTATTGGAGTTTGAAAATTTAATCTGGAGGTAGGATCCTAATTTAGTTACATTTTAAAGTCTACTTAATGCTAGATCCCCCCGCACAAATGACACTGTTTGTCTCACATTAAGCCTCACAACTTGGTATTTGCAAGGGAATTTTATCACTAATTTACATTTTATCCATCATGTGATTCATATTCAGTTCCAAGCAGTGATGCAGTGATGACCCCTCTCCCCATGGAGTTAGTCAAACAATAATCTCAGTGAAATGGGGCTTTAATTGTAGCCACAAGAATTAATGAAGAGATTATTTTCAACCACGGCCGAATAAATGGCCTGCAAAAACAACAGCCTTGATTTTTTTGTTTCCCCCCATCCCCTTTTACTGGTATTTTAAGTGCTTTATTTTTCATTACAGTCTTTTTACACAAGAATTCCAATCTATAGACATTTACTGCCAGGAAATAAGTACTTGAGGATCATAAACTCATCTTAAAAAGACTAAATATCTGAATCTATTATTCTCTCATTGAAAGGTAATCTTGACTCCAATTAATTCTTCTTAGTATCTAAAAATGTAAAAATATCTTATTCTTTCCACTTATCTTCCCTCACATATACAGTGGGGAGACAATTTAGTAAGATACCCTTATCATTTATTGTGCTTATCATTTATGTATGACTTATCTGTCATGAATAAGCAATGGAACTATAATACAAGTTAAAGGTATTTTAACACAATGTTTTGTTGACAGGAGAAGGTGACAGCAGCTAAAATACTTCTACAGCAAATGGACAATGAATTGCTTGCTAAACATGACTAGGTAGGAAAAAATTGTTTGAGTAGAACCAATGCAATTGTTTAAAAGCCCCATGAGCAGGTGTCTGCTCAAGTAGTAGAAATCTGCTACTAAATATTGATTCTCAGATGAAACAGCATATGAACCAGGTTTCTAAATGTTCAGAAAAATTTAAAATTGCTAATTTCTCCCCTTAGCAGGCCTGGAAGGCTTACTTCTACTTCTGAGAATCACAGCTGCTCTAAAGAGCAAGTTAATTAAAGACAGCATAGAATCTGGTTTTTGGGGATTCTTTTTTTTTTTTTTTTAATTTATATAATTTTTTTAGGTTTCTCATTTGGAAAATGATTCTGCAAAATAGCTAAGAATTATGCCATTAGGAAGCAACAGCTTTGTATCTATCAGCCATTTGATGAACTTGTGTTCTTCTCTAAAACCAATACCCACTTTTAGGGAAGATATTTGCTCTTTTGAAACAGAACTAACTTAAAAACTGTCTTTTGTGGATGGACTGTTCTGAACTCTGAAGCTGTTCTAGGTGACAACTGCAAAATAAAGCAGAGTTTATTTTGAGCCAGCTCCTCCAAGTAACTGCAATGAGACAGAGCTCCTCTGCTGTCTCCTCCAGCTCCACCTTCCTCAGCCCATTCCCCCACGCTGCCTGATATGGCAGAATTAGGTTCGTGTGGCAAGTGGAGCCTCTAACACTCCAGTATTTTGATTTTTTTTGAGAAATATGGACGACGCTGAGGGTTCAATTGCTCTGATCTATCTCTTCTCTGAGACCTGGCCTCTTTAATAAGCTAGGTTTAAAATATGAACTTTCTATTCTAGTCTGGTAGTCTTCACTAAGGGAAAAAACTGCCATAATTTGACTCTCTGTTGATCAAAAAGGTGACACTTCAGTGTGTTGCCTCAACATGTTTCAATAAGAGTTCTAGTGTCAAAAATAATAGGGATAAACAAGGAGCAGAGCTACATCAACGATTTTCAGACTCAAGGTTGAAAACATAAATTAAGTGAATTTTAAATGATCATTTTCCATACCAAAAGACCTGAGGATTAGAGGAAGAACATACCTTAAAAATAACATTGATGTTTCCACTTGGAGCATTCGCATTGATGAAAGAGATTTTTAATGGAAAGGCATTGGATGTGAAATAAGAACATGACTGCAGGGGAAAGAAAGTGAGACAGAAGAACAACAGTGTCACATACACAAAACACCAGGCCAATACAATACATCCGAAAAAAGATTAGAGCTTTAAACACTTCTCAGTAGCAGAGGCAGCAAAAATAAATAATTATTGGTATTATTGACTGTTTCATTGGGTCTGAAAAACAAGAAATTTCTTGTCCCCAGACAACCTGCTTCACTTAAACATCAGATCATATGAACAGGTAATATTTTATGCACTAATTGTTTTTTATTTTCACCCAGGCCTATCAACAGTAATATTTGCCTGGAACTGGGTGGATGAATTATATAAGAGTGATCTAATGAGTTTTAAAGCATTGAAAAGCCTTTGGTCTCATTGTTTTCTGAAAAAAGAAGAAAAATCCAGCCATGCCCAATCAGACATGGAAGCAAAGAACCTGCCAGTTTCTTTGATTACCTCACTCTGGCTGAGGATACAGGAAATTTTGAAAATCATGCTCTATTTTATGTGGAATTTATCTTAATTAAGCACAAACTACAAACTCTGGCTTTCATGCTCTACAGCTCCTTCCACCTGAAGATCTCAAAGGGCTTCAAAAAGCGTTAATGAGCCAAGCACTGCAATCCTGTGAGAGTTTAGGGTGGAACTGCTACCCTCATTAAAAACATTCAAAGAAAGGTGGTGGGGAAGCCCCTCACAACCAGCTAAAGACAATAGTGAATTAATGGCCTGTTTCTGGAAATAATGAGCACCCCACAAGAGCTGCTGCTGTCCTTACAGGGTGCAGTGTAAGGGAGGCTCATTTCAGCTCCACCAGACACAGCTGTCTGCTGCTTTTCATCTGAACATCTCCAAGCATGGCACGAGCATACAAATAATGCCTCAGCCACAGCAGACCTCTGGGATGGGCCAGAGCCATTATCAGCAATGAGGTCCTGACCCCCACCATTGAAATGATTCCATTTCAATCAGAATTTTGCCAATTGAAATGTCTCAGTGAGTGCTTGAAAGGTTCCTGTGGGATGATGCGACTCTGATAGAGCTGGGAGCGGGGCTTGCTACTGGTAGAATCAATAGATGACACCAAAATGAATTAAATTTAGGTAATTATAAGCACTTAAAAGTTCTAATTTGCATGATTATACTGACATACAGTCCAATCAAGAAATGACATATATTTATAGAAAGATAATGGTCTATAATGATAGAAGAAAAATGAAAAAAAACCAATCCCAAAAAGCAACAGCAACAAAAAAATCCTCTTCAGATTTTATGTTTGTACCTGTCCAGCCAAGCTGGTGCAGTAGAAATAGCATGACTTTATGGTGAGATACCTTACCATTAGTCATTATTTTCCAAAGCCTGAAAGCAGGGAGAAGCAGCAGGCTTCAAATCCTCCTGACTTGTATCACATAAAATTCTCCCAAGCCTGTGGGGTGCTGGAACACTTCAGTTCTCAGCCAGATCAAGGCTGAATAGCTATTACTTGGAGAAATACAGGTCAGAGGCAATTGAAGGGATCAGCATCTCTTAGAATCAAATCTACTATGGATAATGAGCCAGAGAACAAAAATAGAGCACAAATTGCTGTAATTAGGCAGTTATAACTGGTAATATATATGGCTGTTCAGGTTTTTCTTTTTCTTCATGCTGGATACATTTTCCTTTCCCAGAGATGAATCAGCTTGCTTCTGGCATTATGTTGTTTATGAAAATATTTCTGAACAATGAATACCTGAATCTTAGTACTACAGTCAAAGTCAAGTAACACTGAAAAGTATTGCTATTTCCTTTATCCTTAAGACATTTTTAATAGGGGTCGTAGATACAGATAAGCTAGTGTGAATATTTAACATTTTAGCAATTCTCAGTCAGCTCAGCAAACAGACAGCTGGCTCCAGACTTTTTCCTGCTCCCATACCTGACACGGGAGAGTCTTGGATGGGAAAAACACCAAGGGCTGCTGTGGCAGACACACTCTCCTCTCTTTCAGGATTTTTCATAGAGGAGCACAGAGGAAAGAAAGAGAAAACAATTTCTATTTCTGCTCCTTTTTTTTTTCCACGAGGAATGTGTTTGGAGAATTGTTTACCTGGGGTGATTTCTTGATTGGATTCTGGTGAGGATTGTTTGAGCCTGATGGCCAATCCAACCCACCTGGGGCTGGACTCTCCAGAGAGGCTTACAAATTGTGAGTTAGATATGGTAGTTAGAACATGTAGGTTTGTAGTTTTAGTATCTCCTTTGAATAGTATATTAATGTATTATAATATAGTTATAATAAAGAAATCATGCAGCCTTCTGAACTAAAGTCAGACATCATCATTTCTTCCCACTGGGCTCACCTGCATTTACAATAGGCTACCTGCTGGGAGCCAGGTCCCAGCTCCAGGTGTCCTTGCCAATGCCAACACCAGGGCAGGGCAGCTGAGCTGGGAATGGGCAGCTCAGAGTTGAAGTCTCTGGCTGCTGTGACACACATGCAGCAGCCACCACACCCATCCTGTCATCTCTGCCTCAGGCTAAGGTTTGAAGGAGATTAGGCTGGTTGTGAATCGACCAGATTATTTATTCTCTGTGGAAACCCAGGGCACCTGGAATATATAATAAATATATTCTGTCTGCTCTGGGGTGTCTTGACCCCCAGGGGTGCACTGATTTTGACCCTCATTCATGGAGAAAACTTCCAAAGCCTCAAGGTAAACTAGAAACCACAAAAGTGTGAAATAGATTGTAGAGAGTAATTTATTATGTCACAAGGGTGAGAAATTTAGGTTTTGGGATTTTTAGGATGTTATAGATGGGTTCAAGATGGAGGATATAGGGTGTTGTCTCAATTTCATTTTACTTCCTTCTTCTTCCTTCATCTTCTTGGGGTTAGGTGATATCGAGTAATTGGGTAGAAAAATCTGCATTGTGGGTCTTTAGGGGTCAGTTAATGGGTAAGAAAGGAAAATAATTTAGGTGTCACTTCTTAATTGGGTAGTTTAGTTTTTGATTAGTCTTAAAAGGCCTTATAACAAGAGATTTTAAGCCATTTTTGTGCTGTTTATCCTGCATGTAGAGTCTGGTGCAGACAGTGTGCTGAAGTTTTGACAAGATAACAATAAAAAAGAAGCTGAATACCGAAAAAGTCCAATGTGTCTCTCGTTCCTGACACAGACCTGCTCCAGGAGGGTCTCCCCTGCCAGGGGAGCCCCCAGGGAGCTGCCCAGCTTGGGGCCTGCCAACTCATAATTCTCCACATCACTACGATCATGTCCTGATCAGATCATCTCAATGAAGGATTTCTCTCCTTCTCCCCTCCAGACTAAAAACCAAAATTGAAAATGCAATGGGTCACACTTACATCTGCCTCTATGCCTTGCACAAGGAGCGCAGGGTTCAGGGGGAGCCGGCAGAGCTTCACCTCCTGGAAGAACTGCTGGAGTCTGCTGAGCTCCACCTTCAACACCTCCTGCAGCACAAGAACCATTATTGCAGCATGAAAGAACACAAAACCAGATTTTTATTTATTTCTTTATTTTGTAATTTTTTCCCCCACTGTCTTTTTATACTTTAAACAAGCAATGCAATTTCCAGAGCATCTGCGTGACCTTCCAACAGCTAATGAGGTCACACTGGGGTATTAAAAATAAGAGCTGTCATTTTACTCCACACTGATGCCTTTTCTGCCTAGATGTGCTACCAGCTCATACTGCCCTGTAGGTTCAGGTGGAAAGAGTCTGTTTCCAACAGCATGGAGTGACAGGACAAGGGAGAATGGCTTCAAATTGAAGGAAGATAGGTTTAGACTGGATATTAGAAAAAATCTCTACCTGTGAAACCAGGCTGGATGGAGCCACCTGGTCTGGTGGGAGGTGTCCCTCCCATTACTGGGGGTTGGAACTGGATGATTTTTAAGGTGCCTTCCAGCCCAAACCATTCTGTGATTTTATGAGTCAACACCCTTTGTTAGGGGTTTACCCTCATATTGCTCTCCTGTATCTCATGGGCTTTTTTGCCTTTCCTAAACTCTTCCCAATTTGCTGCTTGTTACCTCAACACTGATGTCCCTTGCCTAACTCTGTTAACTGCAAGGTTTGGGAGCTTCTCAATATCGTAGTAACTGCAGCCTTGAGATTAATCTCTAAAATCTGAATTATGCATCAGTGATGTATAATGTATTACTACTATTTCTTCTTCTTTACATGGATTTTCCTTTTGCAAATATTTTTGTCTTTTTACTTCCATGTTTGCTTTGCTGCTCTCAGTAGCAGCACTGAAAATTTTCTGAGAAACCCTTTGAAAATCTTTGAATCCTTAACAAGGCAGAAAGATTCATGATATCATTCATGATAACCAGCAGTGGAAAGTATATTTTTATTTGGCTCTCTGCTCTGCCTTGCTGAGATTTCAACAAGAAGCAGTTTTACACACCAGGTAAGTAACAGCAGCTGTCCTGGAAAATTAACAGTTCTAAACTACAAATGTACCTATGCAATATAAAAGCTGCACCAACTGCAAGTTTCTACTGCCAGGGAGGTACCTCTGCAGATATGTGTTCGGTGTTCATTGCTGAGAGCTGTCTTTGAGATATCAGCTACATTCCAGTCTGGTTGTCTTTGCTAAGAAATGAGGATATGTCCAGCCTGCCAAGAACAACTCTTAGTAAAGCTTTCAAGAAATGCTGCAGCTCTACATGAGTAAAATATTTTGGCATGAGGTGCTGAATATGAAAATTCCTCTCAGTGAAATGATAATCAGCCTTGTTGCCATTATTGCTGAGCACCTCCAAGTCCATTTGAAAAACCACTGATGAGGGAATTTAAATGGATGAAAAGCTTTGCAGACCTCAAGAGTAATAGATGAGATCTGTGTTACCTGTTTTCAGAGCAGAAAAATAATCGTAAAATTTACTTAAGTCTTTGGTTTATTTATGTAAAGGATATTAAAAAGAAAGCGGTGTCACCTTAGAAAAAATAAAATTCCCTACAGAAACTTAGATGGAAGGGGCAGTATTTTTAAACAAACCTTTCTTTTTGGGTCACTGGCAGCTTTCACTTTTGTGGCAATGTCTTCCAGAATTCTGATGAGTTTTTCTTCCTTAGAAAACTCATTGTTCAGGGCCTGTCCAGCACAGAATTGGAGAGCAGCCAGGAGTTTCTTATACCACATTCTGAAATGAACTTCATTCTGAGCATTCTTCAGCAGCCTGAAGGAAGGAAGGGAAAAAAAAAATATGTGTATCTAGAAATGAATTTTATTACATATCAGTTCTAGCAGGAACAATAAACTTCAGACTAATCTACATTTGGTCACTTTGGGCAGCAGAGAATGAAAAAAATGTTATTGCTTGTAGGCAATGAGACTCAAGTCCCATTTGATAACTAATGGGATTCCAAATGTGTTGAATAAACAGAAAACTGTCATTTCTTATTGTCAAACATAATGCAATGCCTGCATTGCTTCTTATTTCTGCAAGAAAAGTTAACAAAGTGAAAAGAAGTTGCACATTTTTGAAGGCCAGTTTTAAATATATATTCTTAAATATTTTTTTTCTTCTGCCAGTTCATTTATACAAGCAAGCAAGATCTTCTGCTAGGAGGTGCATTTAAAGACTGTTTTAGTCTCAGATGTACCATCAATTCTAAAAACTTTCACTGTTTTAAGCTGAGGAGACATTTCTGAAATTGACTATTCTGCTAAAAAGAGTGAAATGAGCACATTTTATTCCCTTCTTTACTGGTAAGTGCTGGTCTAAAGCAAAACTCAGCTTTTAGTTCTTCTGAAGCCTGAAAAAGCTTTGGAACTGGAGTTACTGCCAACACAAAATCAGAAATAAAACCAAAACCATATTCTTTTTAAAAATAATCACCATGCAGTCTTCTCTAATTACACAGTTTTTTGGGTCAGGAAGGCTGGGGAGTTTAGAGGGTTTTGGTTAGTTAATCAAATTGATCATTGAGAGATTCTTTTCCTTTTGTGGGCCAGAGGTTTTGTACACTTTTTGATTTATTTTTCTAAGCATAGATGGAATCACCAGCTCTGTCCTGTTGTTAACATCCTGGGATTTCCCTCTGCCTGGAGGACTGGTGAACTGCTCTTTGCTTTTTTGTGAACTCTCTCTCTCACAGCTTCACCCTTAAGAACATCTAAAACAAACTCCTTATAAATGTCTGAATCTTAATGCAGTTTCCCCAGCCTAAAAAAATAACGCTACTTTTTACAGGACAGAAATCAGAGAAGCTCTTGACTTTCAAGGAACATCACATGACTGAATATGTGACATATAAATATGTCACATCACAAAAAGCAAGAACAAGAAATTATTTGAAGCACTGCTATTTAAGGGTGAAAAAACCTATAATTCCTACAGACACTTCAACTCCTTCAAATCATATATAAGGCATTACAGCATTGCTACTGCAGCACATGCCTCTTTTGGTGATGAGAGACCTTTCATGAAGCAATGATTTTTCTAGGTCCTCTTTTCCTATATAATTCAAGGCAGACCAATATCACCTACTGGTTTCTGAAAGCCCTTTCCAGCTACACAAAACCTCTGAACACCTGAAGATTTGAAAATCCTTAAAGAATGAGTGGTGTTTCTATTAGAAATGCCTAGACATGAAAGGGAAGTGATATGAGAAGTTTATCATCAACACTCTCTGGAGAAGTCTGAAATGACTTTTTTTTTTTTTTTTTCACTGTAGACTAGTAGAAACAAATATTACTTTTTGGATTTGAAGGAAATACAAGTTGTTATTGCAGTGGAAGGCAAACCTGAGCACATAGAGGCTGATGTGTTCTTCCCCTGAATCTTTCACACACAGATGAAAGCTGAGAGCACATGTACATGTGGCAGTGGATAAACATATTCCTCCATATTTCCATCAGAGTAAGTCCAAGATTCCACAGGATTCATCTGCTTAAATGTCAATGGCTCATGCCATTTTAGATATCTTAGGAAATCCATTTCCTCCAGCTGCTGCCTTGGGAGGACATGGATCCACTAGAGGCAATATTTCATGCGTGCCACTGCCATGCAGATGTCTCAGATTCCCTGTGCTGTCTAAAATAACCTGTGTTTAGGGCACTTCATAGGCAAACAAGACTATTTAAAATAAAAAAATGTTCAGTCCACTCCAACATCAAGTCAGGAAGAGGCTTGGTGATTATTCTTTAAATAAAAGTATCACTGGTACAGTCCAAATTCTCATGTGGGCAGGAATTTTAGTCTATCAAAGCAAAGTCCAGCTCAGTCTCAGTCCAGCCAAACAGTGCATTTTTCTTGGCACACAGTTCTAAACTATCGCTGTGATACCTGTTTTGAACTGGACATGTAATGCTGGTGCAGAGCCTTGTCTGCAGTAAGGCTTGCACTTGAATCAGCTCCTGAGTATTGTATTCATTCACCTACTCCATTTTTAGTACTACATATTTAAGGAATTCATAAAGGCTACCTCTTCATGTTTGTGATGGCCTTTTAACCCTCTCAGATATACAGAACATTAAACCAGCTTTTATTTCCCTAAAATGAAAGGCTTAGGATTCCACATACGTCAAGCAAAATAACAAAACCAAAACAGTTCACTATTTTAAACAGAGCTACTCCCTGCATAACACAGATCAACATGGAAGATCTATTTTTTGATTATTCTTGTGGCTAAGTGTTTACAGAAAATAAACTTAGACACAGAGAGGATATAACAATTTCTTTTTCCTTTCTGAGAAAGGAAAAAGGGGCAGATTCAGAGAGCTTATACATAAGGTGTGCATGAGGACAGAGGATGTATGTGCAGGCGTGCTCCTAAAAGCCTACAAAATGATTCCTACTTCCTTTGAAAAATGATTTATACTAACTGTCTCTGACTTTTACATTCATCCTATAAAAGGGGTCCCAAAGAGCATGCAAAGGACAGCTTTTAATGTGATGACTCATTGTAGGGCTCTTCTGAAATGTTTGTCCAACAAATAAACAAATATGTTGCTGCAGTTCTGTCCTCCCAGCTTGCTGGCACACCCATCTTCACCCTGCCATGGTGAGAACTCAGCAGAGATAGGAAAATCTGCAGCTTCTGAAGTTGTGAGATGGAGAAGTGCTCAAGACACTAATGAAATTTTCAAGTTAGAACAGGATGCCTGCCTGGGACAGAGGAAGACAAAATTGGAATGGTTTAAAACCCAAGGCTGCCAGTAAAGAAGCATGTGAAATTGTTTTTTCCTGATAATTTTCAGAAGATTCTGCAAGACAGAATGCAGTACAAAAGCCTGGCTTTATGCCAGGCCTAGATCGAGCATCTTGCTCCTAACAACAGAGAGGTTTCCTTACTCTTCAGCTTCTCTGATTTGGGACAAACATCCTCATTCTCAGCAAGGCCTGATGAACTCAGACACCCTTCCCAGGTCACTTTTGTGAAATAGCACAGAAGGAAGTTGAAATTTCAGGATTTCCTAAAATCTGGAAAGGGAATAAGGTAACAGGGGTGCCTTGAAAGATGCCTCCGCCTTCTGCAAGCAGCTGCTTCTCTCTGCACACACCTGCTCCGTGCTGCAAGGGGGCTCCAGCCCCATTTCCTGGAACTCACAGCTGCAGGGGGGTGTGTGTGTTCCCTGTACATCGAAATGCAAGAGATCTGAGAGATTTTTGCCACAGGGAAGAAAGGAAGGTGGAATTGAGTCAGGCTGCTGTGTCTGAGAAGGAGAACCAAGGCTAAAACTAGCAGGTAGAGAGAAAAGGGTAATTAAGGAGGGGAAAAAAAAAAAAAAAAAAAGGAAGGAGGTTGGCTGGGTTTTGGTGGAAAAACAGGTGAGCTGTCCTCGTTCCCCCTGTGTGGTGCTGGAAAACAGGGAAGCTCACACAGTCTGCTCTCTGAGTAGGATTTGGCAGACAAATGAAAGAGTGAGGTGGCTTAGACAACTCTGCTGCTTCAACATCTGTTCCTTGTCTCCTTCGGAAAGGGGAGCAGGGTGAACCTGAGAGCGATGCTTGACAGGACAGATGAGCTCACAGGTAGCTTGTCAAACACTTGGTACCCAAAAAACCCCCAACCCCAAGGAGAAAAGGCCAGGATTTGCTCTAACTTAGTGCAGGTTTAGCCCCTACCTGTTTCAAAGGAGCAGGGCAGTTTGACTGGGTTATTTAGGCACGACATCAGGAGAATGACCCTGGTTAATTTGTTTCCAGGAGCATTTCTGGGATTTATTACACAAAAACGGTGCCTACCAGCACACACCCTGTACACTCTGCAAAAGGTTTTTTGAATTCAGAGACACACCATGAAAACAAGGTGCTTTAGGGTTGTGAGTGCTGTGGTACCTTTTCTTGTTGGTCCATTTTTGGTAATCCTGACCACAGAAAGCTTTGTTCTGAAGGTGCATTTCATGTTTGCTCTCTGTTTTACTAAGCTGGAGGCAGGACAAATCACAGAAGAACAAAAACAATGCTACAAGACTGCTGCTCATTATGGAAATAATTGTCTTAAAATTATTCACGGCAGCCCTTATCAAAGATTAGCACACAAAAACACTTCCCTACCACTGTACAGCTCCTGTGTCTGAGGTTGCCATCTGTCTTAATTATCCTTAGACATCCTGCAAAACTCCTAATCTGTCCTTTGTGCTTTATTGTGCCACGGAGCTATGGCACACGCCTGAAGATTTTAACTGTTTTCATTTTCTGCTCCTTGAAGAAAACATTTTACTGTTTGCATTCTTAAAAAGGAGAACAAGAACAGGGCTGGCTTGCGTGTAAGACTTCACTCAGGCTTTGCAGCTCCTTAAGTCTCAGTGCAAGTTCCCCAGAGATACATGGATGACACAGATGACAAAAATGTACAGCTGAAAATTAAGGACTCCACCTACCTTCTGATAGGTCATGAGAATGAGAGGGAAACTGCTGCTATCAATAATTACTCAGCTGCAAGTAAAACCTCTCTTTGGTTTTTTTTATCTCTCCAGAAGTACTCCCAAACTGCTGCTATTAATTAATTACTCAGTTGCAAAACCTCTCTTTGCTTTTTAAACTTTTATCTCCCCAGTGGTACACTGGACAACCAGTCCCAAACTCTAGAAAGAACATAAATCTGTATGATTGAGGTACTAGAAATCAAAGAAAGGGAAACAGAAACACAGAAACAGCACCACCATTGTGGGTAGAACTATTGGGGCATTGGAGACGACAAAATAACAAATGTAAAAACTAACAGGTGA